TCATGGAGCGGTGGAATTACATGATATGAGATCAAGTGGTACTTTCTTGGTAAATGGACAGAGAATAAAATATTATTGAGGTAGTGACATTGCACGTCACAAGACCTCAGTGGACTTAGCTGATGCTTAAAAACGTGTTAAGTCGTGTCGCGATATTAAATCAGACGCTTGTTGGGAGGCAACCCAATTTTTATTGCTTTCGTAGCTTAGCTTTTTATTTTCTTTTAGTTAGAGTAGACTAGTTTTTTTTGTTTTCTTTGTAGTTGCAAAAATCATAGGTGGGAATGGTGTAGGGTGTGTATAATATATGTAGTGCTCGAGTAGGAGGAAATTTATATATATAAAAAAATTAGAAACGAGCGCCCAGGCCAGCACCCCACGTTGTCTGGGGCGCACTTTCGAGTGTGCGAAAAATTTCCAACGCCAACCCTAGTATGGGGTGCTAGGTTGGTGCGTCAACAGGTTGTTATGGCTCGTGACAATGCCGCCAAAGGAAAAGGGATGGGGAAGTCCTCCAATACTGCTCCCCCTCCCAAAAAATGCAAGCAAGGTGAGGGCTCTTCCCAGCAAGCTAAGGGAAAGCAAGTCGCTAGCGGGTCGACACCACAGCCTCGGTAGAACTAGTTGAGATGACGCCATCAAATGGCATGATAATTTTATTTCATATGGGAGATATGTCTCCAAAATGGGGATAAATGTAAAGGCCTTAGAAAGGAACTTCCCAGATGTACTTGCCAGGTTGGTAGAAAAGAAGATGGATAAGCTTATCGAATGTCTGGGCCCTGCAAATCTAAGCATGGTACTAGAGCTCTATGCCAACTGGAATGAGGGCCTAAACCAGTCATGGGTCATAGAAAAGTAAATACTAATGGATAGGGAATCTTTGTATAGCTTCTTGGGAGTTGATAGCCCTAATCCACGGAGGCTACGAAAGTTCGTCAAAAGTCCATGCTACCAGGAAATACGTCGCACACTTTGTGGCGTTGATTCTAATGCGAAGTAGAAGTAGACTAAAGGAAATGTTCACCTTGAGATGCTCTGGTTCGACTTCAACAAGACGTCTAAGGTTTGGTAGAACTTTGTGCAGGCTAGATTAATGCCCATTGAGCATAACAGTGAGTGCACTCGAGCTTAAGTGTGTGTGATCTACTTTCTGATGACCGGGCGACCCATAAATGTGGGTGAGCTCATGCTTGGCGAGATGTCCAGCACCCAATTTGGAGGGAGGATCAAAAGGTTCTTCTTTGGAAACATCCTGACGCAGTACATGCTATCCCGTGGGGTACCGGAGTTCCTGGCTATGATGAGGTAGTGGAGGCACTCACAGCATTGATAGATATCACATCCTTGCTAGAGTCCACATCAAAGCTTACCCATGCTGCTAGGAATGAGAGGGACAAAAATTTCAATAGGTATCTTTATAATTCCCTCAATGTTATAATGAGCAGGCTAGGATGTCTGATGAGGAGCGCATGCAATTGCAAAGTGACCTCTCCAGTTCTTCCAAGGAGATTTTGGGCATAGCACCAGGCAGTCCCATTCATCCATTTGAGGATAAAAACACTAACAAGGGATCTGATGATGAGAATGCGGATGATGATGAAGTTATGGGGCCCATGACTTGGTACTCTTAGGAGATGATGATGAGCCCAGAGCTGCAGCTGGTGGGTCTGAGGAGGCAAACTCCGACTAGCAGGGAGTTCTTTCTTTCCACCTTACACTATTTTGAATTTGTTATGCATCGGGGACTATGCATCGTTTTAAGTGTGGGGCGGGGGAATACTTCATGACTTGTAATTGTATCAATTTTTTTTGTGTTATTGTTTTTTTTTCTTTTTAGCTTAGTTTAGAACCAATATAGTCTAATTAGCTAGATTACATGAAAAAAATAAAAAAAGCTCAAACTTTTCCCGACGATGGATCTGTTGGACAATTTTCTTACGAGATTAAAGTCCGATTAAAAATACCAAAAAAAAATTTATGTTTTTTTGTTAGGATAGTTAGGTAGTATCCCTTGGTTTTTTTTAGACACCGGTTCTTTTCCAAAGGTGTATCTCGAACCGGGTGTTTTGTTTTATTTATTTATTTTTATTTTTATTAGGAGTAGGATAAGGGAGAAAACTGAGGTTCTCTAAGGTACCTGTTGACATGTTTTGTGCTGGCAAGTTAAGTTATGGCATGCGCTTTGTCTTCCTGAATATTTGATTTAAATTGTAATGCCCAAGTAAATTAAGTAGCCTACTCTTTGACACATTTTTCTCAGTTGGTTGACTTGTATGCCACCTAGTGCATTAGTGCGTAAAAAAAATTCTCAACTTGATATGCTTGCTTGACTTGAGAGTCGCACATAATCGTCTTGAGTGAGTCAAGTTCCATGTGTGTGTAAGGAATGATGATATTTTGTGTTATCTTGTGTAGTCTAGAACTTTTCTCGTGTGTTAATCAACGCGAATTTATTAAGTTGTGCTAGTCTAGGAGATGACGTAGGCATTTCTTGTTTGACCATAAAGGCGTTTGTCACTCACAAATAAAAATTTTCTGTTGCTAGCCCCTTTGAGCCTATAGACCGTTTCTTTGGCACCCACATTATAAGTCGTACTCCTATTTTGTTCTTAATTGGGGAGTGGTTTTCGAGTGAAACCATGGAAGGGCCCTTAAGGTGCACTAAAATTGTGAAAGAAGGTCACTAGCCTATGAACTTCAATGTATGGAGTGTGTGAAAAAAATAGAAGAAAAATGTTGCAAGAAAAAGCAAACAAGAGTTCAAATAATGTAGAAACACATACACCTCCTAATCCTTCTAACTCATGCTAGTGAAACCATAGAGGTGCTTAATTGAAAAGAGGGCTATGTTATATATGGTGTATGACAAATGAATGGGTTGAAAAGAAAATGTCTCGATTTGTGAGTGTAGTGTATTAATTGCTTAGGAGGGTTAGTAACTATTCTTAAATATATCATACCCGTCCCTTAGCCTATATTACAACATTAAAGTCCTAATTGATCCTAGATTTGGCTAGCTTAGATTAGTAAAGATGTACACTACGAGCAAGCTTATGGTACGACCACGGGATGCACATGACTTCTTTGTGAGAGTGAGTTAATTTTGTTCAATTGTGTGATGTCATTAATTTATGTTCAATGTCATATTTGAATATATGGACTACTTTTATATTCACTTTTGTTTGTGGTGAGACCACTTGGTCTCATGACGAATCAGTGATGTTATACACTTCTTTTGTTGGGTGAGTGTGTGAGTTGAGGATGCTTAGTGGTAACGAGTCGTCTCTTGAGGTAAGGTAGTTGTGGAGAGGTTGCTTGAGTTGGTTGAATAGCATTGTATATATTTGGGCTAGTTTAAAAACGGGAAGAATGTGAAATTTGTGTATTCATGCTTAATTGCCGATATCGATTATAGTCCAAAGGTAGGGTGTTTGATTGAATTAATTGTGAAGTTCTCTTTCATAGTGATAGGTACATGTTGGGGTGTTAATATAGTTCCATTGCTCGAGGACGAGTAAGAGCGGTATTTCACATAACAAGTGAAAATGTCTCGGCAATTGCCCTAAATTTTTAGGGCAATTGTCCTGAATTTTTTTTTAAGGACAAAACAAGTACTGACTAATCCCTAAATATCAGTACTTAGAATGACAGTTTGTGTACTTCTCGTTTAGTTGTAATTGGAGAACTCATCAGTTTGCTTCGGGTTATGTAGTTCAATTGATAGGATTAAGGGACTTAAAAGGAAAAAAATGATTAATAGGGTATTTGGATGGGCTTAAAAGCTCGTCAAACTAGTTTTTAAGCACTTTTTTATTTTTTGGAGTATTTGGGAAAAAAAAAGTGCTTTAAAAAGCCAAAAACAACAAGTTGGTTGACCCCAACTTCTCCAATTTTGGTTTAAAAGCCATTTTAGTTTGACCAATAAAATTACTTTCTTGTGCATTATAAATTTTCATAATACCAAAATTATCCTCAATCAAAGAAATCCTAAAATATTGCATTTCTCCTATTTCTTTCACTTATAAAGACAGCCTGTCCTTTTCTTTCCTCTTTCTCTCTGCTTTATCTTCATTTTTCTACGTTTTTCCTCAAGCTTTAAGGTTGCATACTGGATCGGCCTCTACTGGCTTCCAAAACAGGGGCTAATGCCATAATAAGCTTTCTTCTACTTTCAATTGATGTAACTGCATCTTTAATCTGCCAAGAGTAAATGGACAAAAAGGGAAAGAGGGATTCAACAAAATAATTTGATATTTAAATAGATTGAGACTTTTAAGGAAGTTTACTTGATTGAAAATGGGAAAAAATGAGCATTCAAGAATTATATTTATAAAAATTATCTAAGTAATCAATTAAATTAAAATTAAATTAAAATATAAATTAATTTTTTATTTGCATTAATTCATAATTAAATGTATTTTAGTAATCAGCTCATTTATAATGTTAACAACTTTAAAAAAAAAATTGTCTTTTTAACAAAAAAAAATACTTGCTAGACTTTTTATCAGACCCTTCAACATCTTTTTTTAAGTTTCAGCATTTTTATTTAAATATGCAATTGCTAGCACTTGTGCCAATCCAAACGAGCTCTTAGGTAAGATAATCCAAATGGATATACGAACATATACGGCGAGAATGACTTAAAATCTTTTGTAGTATTTGCAATCGGTCTAAACAAAATATCTTTCACGAATTTCCATGCATTAACAGAGTAAAATATGAAAAAGTAATTTGTTTGATTCGAATTCAGATTTGTATTCGACTATTTTCCATAATCCATATTCCATTTTTAGGTAGCAAACATAGAGTCCTAGTTAAGTGACACATTACGATTCCTATTTCCAAAATTTTATTTTATGTCAACCGATTTAATTTAAGATTAATGCCAATTGTATATACTTTTTTTTCCAAAGGAAATTTAAATGGGTAATATAATAATGCATCTAAACTGATTATATGACCAGGTTCAGTTTAATGTCTTATCTATATAAACAAATAAATGTCTAATATCTTGACGATACAAGGAACAAGACAATTGAGCAATGGCTTCTAAACAAGAGGCTAGCAGCAAGTCAACCAACCCAGCACTGGATCCGGATCTGGACAACCCGGATCACCCGGGTCTGGAGTTTGCCCAGTTTGCTGCAGGCTGCTTCTGGGGAGTGGAATTGGCATTTCAGAGGATTGATGGAGTAGTGAAGACGGAGGTAGGCTACTCTCAGGGCCATGTCCACGACCCAAATTACAAGATCGTTTGCTCCGGAACCACCGACCATGCAGAGGTGATTCGGATCCAGTTTGACCCGAATGTCTGCCCATATACCAATCTGCTTTCTCTCTTTTGGAGTCGCATTGACCTCACCGCTCTAAATCGCCAGGTATCAAATTCCTTCATCTCAATTTTTTTAAGTCCTATTTTTGTTTTGTTGTTTTAATTCCCTCGAAATTTTAGTTCCAGTTATTTATGCTACCTGGTACTCATAATAAAATAATGCTATTGTGTTCTTACTACGAAGAGAATATACAATTTAGGTAACTTTGCATGATCCTACCTTAGTTGCAATGTTGTAGTTTGCTCTGAATCTAATTTCACTATGTGCCTAGTTATTTAGTTCGACGTTATGCATTCATTTTGCTAACGTAGATGAGAAGTTAATTCATCATCATCATTCTTTTTGTAGATCAAAACAAGTAAAATACTGAGTTGAACTAATCCAATTTAGCTTCAAACTTTAGTTAAATTGACTCTTGATAAGTGAAACGTGTCATCAAAATTGAAACAGAGGGAGTATTGTGTTTTGGGAAGCTTTTGTTGATTGAAAAAATAAGGAATAGTTAATAAAGTTAAGCAAAACTTTCTATTCTATACTGTAGAAACTGAGTCATCAATTTTGTACAGAGCACCATTTAAGACTCCAAATTATACTCTTTCGTTGTCCATAAAGCTCTTTGAATAAGCAAAATGCATTACCTAACTTGTCAGCTTCATGTGACAAGAACATCTTAGGACTCCATTTGATTCTATTTACGCCGTAAGGGAGGATTTTGCTGGGAAATTAGCAGAAACAAGTAATGATCACATATACAACAACAGCAGCAACAAACCTAGTGAGTTTCCCCAAGTGTGGTTGGGGGAGGGTAGTGTGTGCGTAGACTTTAGCCCTACCCTTGGAGGGCAGAGATGTTGTTTCCGATAGACCCTCGGCTAAAGACGAGTGATCAAATATAGTGATTAGATTAAAAATATTGTTAAGTTTCTTCCTTCTTCTTCCTCTGTTTTATATTTCCTTGCGGGATCAGATATATTAAGGATTTCCTCGTGGCAAACTTAATTACTGAACTCTCACAAGGGTGTTAATGCTGGTTGTTCTCTTGTACCTCTACTCACTTTTAATTGCCTTCGCTTAATATTCTTTTATTCGTTTGAGTGTGAGTTTTTTTGCCTCTAGCTAGAGTTTAACAGCCACAAAGAGCAATATATAATTCTCATGATGATGGTTGTTGCTAGGGTAATGATGTGGGGAATCAATACCGCTCAGGAATATACTACTATAATGAGGCTCAGGCTCAACTCGCAAGGGAATCATTGGAAGCTAAGCAGAAGGAATTTAAGGATAAGAAGATTGTCACAGAAATTCTTCCTGCAAAGAGATTTTATAGAGCTGAAGAGTATCACCAACAATATTTAGAAAAGGGTGGTGGCAGAGGTGCCAAGCAGTCAGCTGCAAAGGGCTGCAATGACCCAATAAGGTGCTACGGTTGACATAGTTGGTCTTTGTAGCACAAAGCACGTATGAAAGAATTTGATGGGCCTTTGTCTTTGCTTATTCCTACTCTTAAATAAATATGTCAATTGTATGTCAATGGTTCTTGATTTTTCTTAGAAGTACTTTGTCTGTTGAATGGAAATTATTGTCCTCTTGGTCTTTATATCTCCTTATCCAATGCCTTAACTTATTGAAGTCCTAAGTGAGGACATTTGTGCTTGAAAGCAATATCAAGCATAGTAATACCAGTCCTTTGGTCCTCTTGTTGGATTAAACAAGTACATGCCCAATTGTCCACATACCAAACTGTTTATTTTGAAGAACGCATATTGCAGGAAAGGAAATGTTTCACTGAATCATATTCCAATGCAGTTTACAGAACATTATAATGCGACACCATGAAACTAAATGCATCTTATGTTACACATTCTTATGGGTAGTTGCCTATTACTTGCACAGAAACTAAAACAGACACTAAATGAGGCTGAGTGGATAATATGTAACTTAGAGTTCATCCTTAGGTGCTGTTGCAGGAGACCCTGTGGGGTTGCTTGATGAAGTCTTGATGGGGTAGGATGGTTGCATTGCTATACCACACAATCCCTCTTCAGCATCAATCTCGCGTTGCATCCTAATGTATCCTTTTTCTCCCCATTCAGGTCCCCACGAGTTCCTCACAATCCAGTATTTGGTTCCATCAAGGGTTGTGCCATAGCCCACAATTGCCACACCATGGTCCAACTCAGTACCACAGTCTCCGGTGAATACACCCTGCCATATTTACAGTTCGTAAATGTTTATACCTAGTAAAAAACTTTTTAACTTGAGATAAATGGTCTATCATCATTTACCTCAGAGTAGAACTGGAAGTCAGAACCTGAAGCTTGTATAGCTACAGAAACAGGCTGGTTGGCTACTGCTTTAAGTAGGGAATCCTCATCATTAGGAGGAACATCCTCATATCCGTCAATTGATACCACAGGAGAATTCCTCTGCCAATTCCATAAAATTCATGCACGTGGATTAGAAACAAGACTGGTTCGATCTGACAGACTGACACCCTACAGATGTAACAGAATCTTACCTTTTGAATATCACACTCGCCACCTTCAGCCATGTATGGATAGTTCTCTTCAGTATTGATGCCTCCCTTCTTCTTGATGAATTCAAATGCCATGTCCATCAACCCTCCATTGCATCCTTGGTTTTGACTAGTGTCACAGTCAACAAGTTCTTGTTCTGATAAAGATACTAACTCATTTGTTTTGATTTGGTTTATCCCCTCTACTGCAACGACAGTTGAAAATGCCCAGCAACTTCCTATAACAGGCAAAAGGTCAGTTTCCATCAGCTATAATATTTTGAAAGAACATATCATATGGTTTACCCTTATGTTATTATGCTAGAGGTGTAAAGCGGCATAGAATTAATGACATGCTACTCTTTTCTTACCACATTTGCCTTGGTCTTTGACAGGAGTAACAGCACCCTTCTTCCTCCAGTCAACAGAGGGAGGGACATCTTCCACATTGGCGTACATGAAAGTTCCATTTGCTCGTGAAGCTCCAAGAAAAGAACGATGATGCTTAATCTTGGAACCAGCATAATGGTGTCTGAATTCATGGTTAGTCATGTCTGCAAACTTGTTCAATTTCAACTTATAAGGCTTATCCTTCTTGTTGAAGTTGTGAACATAGTGTACATTAGCCTTGAACACATTGAACCTCTTGTCTTTCTCATCAAGGCTCCTCGATACAGTGTGATGGCTTCTCCATCTCTCATACAACTCCCACAATTTTTCCTCAGTTTCCAACTCCTTCTCGTGGAAATCGAAACTCTCCCCAAGCCTAAGTACCAAAGCCAAAGAGAAAAGAACCAGAAATAACTTCTTCATTTTTAAAGACTCAGACTCAAGATGGGAATTTAGGGACTATGACAAGGCTTTTTATAGAAGAGTATTCAAGGAGATAGTGGTACAAGTGATGATAATAAATGAAAGAAGTGATGGATTCCTTAAGGGAAGAAACAACACTCAACAATAATAGAAGGAGAAGTCGAGATAGGGTAATGGAATTATGGAGATGAAGCAATGGGTATACACACTTTGCCTACACAAGCAACATATTTTATAGGGATCTTTACCCAAATAGCCGGTCGGATTCAATGCTTACTTTTCCTAGCCGGTATATATAGATTATACCTTGATTATACATGGTTATATACAAATTATACATGAACTTTACACATATTAGACATTCACCAATTATATTTAGTCTAAGCAGTTAAGTGAACGGCTATTTAGGTTAATTCTTTTTCTTTATTATTTAGGGCGGGTTTGGTTTTTACAGACTCAGAAAAGCTTTTTACCAGATAAAGGAGAGAAATGTGACTTTGAATTAGGCAGTGAGCAGTTATGAATAGCTTATGCTGTCTGTTAGAAAAGGTGAAAAAGAGTTTGCAAGTTGAACAAGTTAACGTGTTGATATTAAAAGAGAATGACGAACGTTAGTTATATTGTTAGAGACTCATCAATATGTAGCAAGTTTGGAGAATAAGAATGTGTATAACCATAACTGCTTTATGTGATATTAAGATTTAATTTCTTTTTTGGAAAAGTTCCTTTTTCTGGAAGGAAATATGAAAAGGTCGGCGAAAAAAGATGGGAGTAGTTTCTTGTGGCAAGAATTATGTCTTTAATTAGCCCATGTGCAGCTCCCTCTAACGCTTTGTGCAACCCCTACGCCAACTTATAAGCAATTTTCCTCCTACTCATTTAACTAAAACAATGTGGTTCTGTATGTAATGAGGAAAGAAATATAAATAAGAGTTGAAAATAGAATTTAACAAATAAATACTAATTAAGATTTAAGCTCGATTAATTCAATAAAATTAAATTCTTGCAACACAATAATGAGAATATTTTCGACATATCAAAACAAAAGAGATTATACAAACCTCGGTTGTGTTTGGCTCGATATTGTATGACAGATGAAACTATGGATTGTTTTACCTACAAACTAGTATTTCTCTATATTGTTTGCACTCTCCAAAAATGTCTATGGGCGCGTGTCTAAAAATAGTGTGTTTTTGGAGGATTGGAGACTGGTGCGACGGTATTTTGGAGAGTATGCGCAACATAGGTATTTCTAATTTGCTTCTGTTGTTTTATTGCGTTAATTATTTTAATTGGCTGTAACAATTCTTAATTATATTTCATAAATGACTAACTAGAACATGCAATGCAGGTGCATTTTGTGTTAGTTTACATCATATAACTGAGGATTTGAGCCCTTTTAATTTATTTTGGGCTATATCCACTAACTTTTCATATTTCGAAAAGGAAAACTAAGAGGGAAAGATAGCACAAAAACTGGAGGATGAAACTGGCGAATGAGGGGTGACACTCACATGGGTAGTTCTTCGAAACAGAGGAAACAAGGAAAACTTTGCTTGCATTGCATGCCTATTATATTGTTGCGTCTAAAGTAGTACGCAGCTTAACATTGCCTTGGCTTAATTGGCTGCCAGTTTTCGGCAAACTTGTGAAGCAACGGCACCCTGTAATCATGTTACACCTCATCTATATATGTCAGTGTTGCTTCTCAAAAAGATAACAGCTAGATAGTATAGTATGTTATTTCTGTTAGCTATTATACACCGACGGTGTAAATATTTTTTACATGATCACAACTTATTAAAGTTGGATAATAACCATTTTTATAAAGTTATCGAATGATACTTATTATAAAGATTTATATATAATCACGACCTATTTATATAAATACTTTTAATGTCGTAAAGTATATACGTAGAATTTAACTTCTTGGTGATTGCCTCTATTCTAAGCTTTCAAACGTAATCAATCTGCCATGTTTCATCCTATCACACTATCCAATCAACTGCCTGACAGCAACAAATATTAACTTAAGTGACTATATTTATGACTCATCTTTCTTCCTAATTAGTTGGAAGAAGCTTGTAAACTGATGCTAAAAGATTCTTCAGCAATTTGACATCGTACTCCTTTTAGAGAGACTCAACTCTTACGTCTTACATATCATAATGCATTTTTGTTATGAATGACACTCTTCATTAATTGCTAAAATATTAATTCTACTTTTAAGTAAGATTAACATTTATTGATGCCTCTATTAGTTAGTTTTTGAGCAATATTACATATTTTAATAAGTAATATTCTACCCGCATAGTTTCCTCCTAACTATGAAATTAATTAGTATTAGATAATTTTGGAATTACTTACGATAAAAAGGGTAGATTGAGTATGGAAATTGAGAGTTCGGAATTGGCAAGTAAAAACAGCAAATGAGTTGGTTGGACTGAAATTGGGGGATCAAAATGGCTTGAATTGTTAACCCATCCAGATGTTACTGAAGTAAGATGGATTAAATCAAAATGTGCTAACTGCTAACAATAGATCATAATCTAACCTCCAACTCTAACAAACTTTTTATTTGTTTGTTTATTTTCTTATAATTTGTTTAATTACCAAACAAAACTAATAAAACGTTTTCTCTTTATTACAACTTTATAATAAAATTTTCATGTGACCCAGTTTTGCGCCACCGATTGAATTTGTATTCATTTTTAAAAAAAAATTTAAATGATACCCAATTATTGAATAACTTCAGATTCATACACTTTTCTCTTCTTTTTAACTATTGTTTTCTTCTTTTTTGTGCTTAGAGTTTCTTCTTCTTCTTTTTCTTTGTTGCAAAATGAGTTTATTAACTTTATTGTTATTTTGAAACTTTGATGATTGAGATTTGTTCGTTATGACATTTGAAAGTTGTCACTACTAGAAATTCCGCCAAAACCGACCGCGGCCGATTGACCGACAGCCGACCAAAATCGGTTGGTTTTTTAAAATATTTTATTTATAAATTTTTTTTTACGAAACCGACCAACTTTGGTCGGTTCTTTTTGGCGCAAAATTACGAAAAACTATTTTTGCATGCCACAAAATTTATTCTTCAAGAAACAGACCAACTTTGGTCGGATTTTTATTTAAAATAAATTAAAATTAATATTCAAAAAATCGATCGAAATTGGTCGGTTATTTTAGTCGGTCATATTAAAAACTAACTGATTTCGGTCGATAATTTTATATTTTTAACAAAACCGACCGAAATCGATTGGTTATTTAAAGCGAAAATATAATTAAATAGTATAAATAAAATAAAGTCTTAAACCAAAATGCACCAATGGTCTAATGGTAGAATAGTATCCTGCCACAGTACAAACCTCGGTTCGATTCCCAAATGATGCATTTTTTAATTACATAATTACAAATACCGACCGACTTCGGTCAGAACATACCAATCTAAGTCGATCGGTTGGCTCCACCGACCACATGATTATCGTCCACCACGAATCGATCGCTTTTTGCCAATTACCGACCAACATCCTATTTTAACAGTTGATTTTTTCCCTTTTTAGTAGTGTGTGTATGTTTCAAATTTGAGCTTATTTAGAGTAGATTTGGGCATTAAATCATACATTAGATTGTTGAAATTCGAAGAACAAGTTTATGTTTCAGAACTTAAGATTCGGAATCTAAAGTTGCATTCAATAGTAAGATTTGAATTTCTGAAGTTGCATTTGAAAGATAGAAGAAGTGCAGATTTGATTTCTGAAATTACATTTGAAAGGTAGAAGAACTTCAAATTTGATTTCTAAAGTTGCATTGAAGAGATTGAACTATTTCAGATCCAAACGGATATACTTTTCAAAATTTTGTGCAATGCAAATATAACTTCAATGGTGGCCCCAAAAGTAGGTATATATGAAAATGCCCCTTATCTATAACATATCAAACCAAAAAAAAAATGTTAAATAAGAATATTTTGACAAGTTCTTTTACGGGTCAATCTACATAGTTAGCCCAAATCAACCCAACTTTTAGATGAATTAACTTGGGTTATGTCCAAATTGACCCACCCGCCCAATCATATTTGAATGAGCTAATTTTGTCACCCCAACTACAAGCAACACTTTAAGCTCAACAGCCAAATTTATGAACACAAAATATACACATGAAAATTATCACCACGAAAGACCACCTTATTTTCCCATGAATAATGAACATTTCAGAATCAGTATCTACTTTCCAATCAATATCAATAGAAGATTTCTACTTTTTCAGCTTAGAAGCCTAATGTATTTACAATGTCAGCCTTCTGGCATGATCTTCAGATGGAGGATGCCCATTTATGGCTTCACAGTCAATATGATGTCTTAAATTGAGCTTTCACATCCAAAATCAACACTGACACACTCAAGATCCGGACTGAAAGCTGAATTACTGAGCAATCTGTAACGGCTGAACAATCTGGTCACTACTCAAAATGCTAGAGCATTCCGAACTTTGAAGTGATATTATGACCAAATACATATGATTCCACTCTTATCCGAGGTAGCCAGAGGTTTACCAAAACCACTCCATGAACAACATAGAACAGGGGCCGTGTGTTCTTTCAAAGTGCTTACCATTTTAGTGTTTGATACTGACCAAATATGAACAGATCCATCAACAGAACCAGAAGCAACATAACTGTCATCTGGACTGATACAGGAACGACTCCAATTAGATGCAACTCGATTTTCATTCGCTCTGAAAGTGCCACAAATTTCAAGGGTACGAATATCAAATAGATTGTGCAAGTTGTCTCTCCCACTGGTTAATATTACATTTCCATTTCGAGAGAGTGAAACTGATGTAACAGCCTGTGAATGTGCAGCAACTTCACTCAGAAGCTTCCCTGTCTGAATATCCCATAATCTAAGACTCCCATCGACATGACCGGAACAAATGGTCAGGCCATCCATGCTAAACGAAAGGCTATTACAGTTACTGTGGAAGATAATAGTGTTAGTA